ATTTGGCTGCTCTTGGGGCATGCAGAGCTACCCTCCATGCTACCAGGCCAGGGACCCCCAGGAAAAGCTGTCCTGGGGGTCTACAGCCTGGCCCCATTCTGGGGTTTATGGAAGTGAGAGAGACATTTAGCTGGGGCATCTGGCCCAGAAGCCATTATTCTGAGAGTGAATGTATGACAGCATTCCCAATCAGTATTAGGTAGCTGTCATGGAGGCAGTGTGGTGTCACAGACAAGATGGCTTCAGTCTCAAATCACAAACCAGCTGTGTGAGCTCAAGCATAGTTATTTTTAAAAACAAACTTTTGTACTGATAGACCTTATATAAAGGGCACAAATCCCAAGGCTACGTACAGTTCAACGAGTTATCACAAAGTAAATAGTCATGGGAACCAGCAGTTAGCGTAATGTTTATGTCGCTGGACTCCCACGTAGTAGACTGCGGTTTGCGTCCTGGACCAGGTGGCTTAAAACTCACGCTGGACACGTGTGCGTGCGTGCCCAAGATCCCGAGAGGAGAATGGAGGAGAAGGGATTGTGGTGTGGCCATCCCCCCTGGGGGTGATTTCTCGCTTTCTGTCTCTATGTCTCTCTCTGTCTGGTGAGCACATGCACCCTATAGCGAAAACCTCTCCAAAAAAAAAAAAAAAAAAATAGCCATGTACCCACTATCCGGCTTTAAAAAAAGAACACTCCAGTACTCCAGAAGCCTCCATGTTCCTTTCCCAGTTACGACCACCCCTCCCAACTCTCCCAGAGGGAACAAGCTAGTCTAGTGTTTAACACTTGAACTAGTTTGCTAAGGCGAATTCTGAATGTCTTTTTGCCTTGGTTTCGTCTATAAAAGGGTGACAGGACACATTCCTGCCTCATAACCTTGCTGGGCAATGAACTGCGGGCACCAGGCTCAGCAGGCATGACCTCATCTAAGTTTCCAAGAACTCCTGGACTATTGGGAGTTAGCATCAGCTCCATATCCCAGAGGCTAAGCAACCTGTCCAGCTGCAGGGGACAGAACTGGAATCTCCAGGTCTGCCTGGGGCCTGCACTCAGAGGCCTGGCCCTTGTCTCCCAATTCTCTGAAAGATGTTAAACTTACTAACCAGAAGATTGCCAGGAAGGAGTAGTCCAACTGCCTTAGCCAGACAGAATCTAAGTCTCCCCCAAAGTACCTGTCATGCAGTGGGAGCCGAATATCTATTTCCTGATGATACAAACAGCCCAAGACTGTGTTTTAGTCTCTGGCACTGGTTACATAGCTTCAACTTCTGGCTGCTCAAGCAACTAAAATGGAGTGAGAATGCATGGGCAGGACCGAGAGGAGAATGGAGAAGGGACTACGGCCATCCCCCGGGAGGTGATTTCTCACTTTCTGTCTCCCTGTCTCTCTTTCTGGAGAGCTCATGTGCCCTATAGCAAAAACCTCTCAAAAAAAAAAAAAAAATATTTTTTTTTTTTTTTTTTTTTTTTTTTAGAAAAAGGAAGAATGAATGGGCTTCTAATAGTCATCTGCGACAGGCTTCAGGAGTCTTCCCACATAGCTGCTGCAGGGCATCACCTGCCCTGTGAGCTCCCACTCAGCTAGCCGACCTGTGCTCCTCACATTTCCTTTCCCATCCACCCTACACAGCTCCTGGGAGAGACCAAGACCTCTCTGAGCACTGGCTTCTTCACAGGAAAGGACCTGATACCTGGATGATTATTGACGAACAGTGATGCTGGGAGCAGAGTGGCACAGCCTGGAGTCTCCGCGAGTCCCATGAGGCACAGCCTAGAAGATGCTGTTAAGGAGAGTTGGATACAAGGCTCTCTGGGATGAATGGGCATTAGAAACCTTTAAAAATCATCATACACAAAAGTAGAACAGAGAATAACACCTGCTAGCCATATTTAACAGATGGGTACACTTCTACTTTTAGATTCAGATTTTGTTTTTAAAGGAAAAAAAAAAGTGGGACCAGCAGATGGAGTGACAATTATGTTGCTAGACTCCCACACGGCTGACCATGGTTTGATTCCTGGACCTGGTGGCTTGAAAATCATGTTGAGTATGTATGTGTACATGTCCAAGAACCTGGGAGAAGAGATAGTGGCATGGCCATCTCCTCAGGGGCGTGATTTATCACTTTCCTTCTCACTGTCTCTGCTTCTGTCTAAGGCAAATGCATTCACCCTAAAACAAAAACCTCTTAAAAGAAAAAAAAAAAAGGAAAAAAAGTCATAGATATAGTTAAAAGCCCTCTTTGCCTCCTCCTAGTCCAATTCTTCCCCCACGCCAGAGAATCACTCTTCCCAAATTGGTCTAAGTTCTTCGGCCACTTTATAATACTACCTACCACTGCACATATTTGTCCATGAACAATGTAAATCACTGTTTATGCTTTCTTCCCCCCAGAGATATTTGATACAGTTGTTGTTTTTTTAAAGGTTTCTGCCATAGGATGCATGTGTTTGCTGGAGAGAAGAGAGACAAAGAGAGATAGTGAGAGAGAAAGTGAGAAATCACTCCCCCAGGGTGGATGGCCACAGCATAATCCCTTCTCCTCCCTTCTCCTCTTGGGATCTTGAGTATGGACACACATGTGCCAGGTGTGAGTTTTAAGTCACCAGGTCTGGGACTCGGAACTGCGGTCAACTATGAGGGAGTCCAAGACTAACCATTACACCATCTGCTGGTCCCAAGTTCTGTTTATTTTTTTTTTCCCTCTTTTTGGAGAGGATTTTGCTATAGGATGCGTGCGCTCGCCAGAGAGACAGAGAGAGACAGAAAGCGAGAAGTCACTCCTCAGGTGATGGCCATGCCGCAATCCCTTCTCCATTCCCCTCTGGGGATCTTGGGCACATGCGCACACGCGCCCGGCATGAGTTTAAGCCACTGGGTCCAGGACTCGAACCACGGTCGACTACATGGGAGTCCAGCAACATAGTCATTATGCTAACTGCTAGTCCTGTACTTTTTATGTTTTAAAAACATGTAAATGACAATACACAGTTATCTTCTACAACTTTTTTTTTCTTTTGGGTTTTTGCTGTAGGGTGTACTCTCACTCACTGGAGAGAGACAAAGGGAAAGTGAGAAATCACTCTTGGGGAGATGGCTCTACTGCAATCCCTTCTTTACGCTCCTCTCAGGATTTCGGCCACACATGCACAAGTGCTTGGCATTTTTCAAGACACCAGGTCCAGGATTTAAACCATGAGTTGGCCATGTGTGATACAGTGCCTGAATCACCATGCCACCTGCTAGCCCCATCTAATGCAGTTTCTTAAACCGTCATCAGTTTCAATTTATGCAACACTACGATACGTAAACACCAATATCTAAAACAAAAGTACTCTAAAATATTTCCCCTACTAAATATAAAACTAGTATTTTCTAGGGGACCAGCAGTTAGCATAATGGCTATGTCTCTGGATTCTCATGTAGTTGACTGTGGTTCAAGTCTCAGACCTGGTGGCTTAAACTCACGCAGGACGCATGTGCGTGTGTGCCCAAGATCCCAAGAGGAGAATGGAGGAGAAGGGATTGTGGTGTGGCCATCCTCCCTGGGGGGTGATTCTTTCTTCGCTTTCTGTCTGTTTCTCTCTCTCTGTCCGGCGAGTGCACACACTGTATAGCGAAAACCTCTCCAGAAAACAAAACAAAACACTAGTATTTTCTAGTCTTTTTCATGATAAAAAAAAATGCTGCCCAGGCCAGCCAGTGGCATCATGATTGGGCAGCTGGATCTCACAAGGGGAATGCATGGTTTGAGAAATATGCCAGGCATATGTGCATGCATGCCCCAAATCCTGATAATAGAGAGGGGATTACAGTGTTGCCATCCTTTCTGGGGCTAGCAGGGAAGAGTGCTTTCTCACCTTCTTCCTGTCTCTCTCTATATATATCCTATACAAAGTTAGGTGCTGGACTCCCACATGGCTGACTGTGGTTCGAGTCCCAGATCTGGCTGCTTGCTTTCTCACTTTCCCTTTCTCTCTCTCTCTGTCCCTCTCTGGTCAAATTAAATAAATAAAGCTAAATAAAATAATTCTTTTTTTAAAAAAATACAGTTAAAAAAAAAAAGATTGAATGGCCCACTGGTAGGTCACAGCCTGCAGTTCGAGAATACTGCTCCAAGTCTCTACTTAGGGTGGGACTGTGGGGCCACAGAGGACATATGCCTTCAACCTAAAGTGGCTGTACTGGGGGCTGGCAGATGGTGTAGTGGTTGGAACACTGGACTCTCACAAGGTTGACTGTGGTTCGAGTCCTGGACATGGTGGCTTGCTTTCTCACTTTACTTCTCTCTCTCTGGTCAAATTAAATAATAATAAATAATAACAATAAATAAAATTTTTCTTAAAAAAAAAAAAAAAAGTACCAACTTACTTACATTAGTAGCTTTCCTGGTTCTCCATTTTCAAACTTGGCACTATCAGCCCTTAAAATTTTGCTTATCCGAGTTGGTACGAGATGACACCTTATTATAATTATAATTTGCATTTCCCTGACCACATAATCACAGTCATTTGGGTTTCTTTTTCTTTTAACTGTATCTTTATACCCTTTGCCCACTTATCTACTAGGCTATCTTTGATTGATTTGGTTTTTCTCCTATTCTTGTCAGAGCCAAAACTTCTCTGCAGGAGCCTATTTACCCTCGCGTCCTCGCCTTTTTCCACTATTCAGCCCACTGAAATTTGGGCCTGACTCTTACCTTTCTAATAAAATTTTCTTTTCTAGATCTCCCAAATTCTAAATCTGATAGGAATGCTCCAGTCTGATCCTGTAGTCATGCCACTCAGTTCCTAATGATGCACCCTTTCTTGGCCCTGCTCTGCACTGTCTCGAGTTCTGACCTTGGAGCTGCTCCTACCCGCAGATGCACTCACCTAAGCCTCTCCCTAAGAGTCAGCACCTCTGTGCCTTCTCTGCCCAGCTCTGCCACATAGTGACACTAACGTCACTGAGAACCAGCTGCCATAGGACTTTGCTTCTCTGTGCTCCACAGGAACTTCTGTTTCGTACCCAGGCATGCGGCTTTGTTCTGAAGGGTGATATGTAAGTATAGACGGGCCCAGCCCTCTGCCACTAAGACGCCGCCTCACCAAGCCCACAGATGCCCAGGTCCATGTCAGGGCATGGCCTGCCCACCAAACCTCTTCATCGGCCAAAGGATACAGGATGTGGGAATCCAAGTGACTCAGCGAGGCCCAGCACACAGAATTCACCTAGCGAAGAAGCACATAGCAAGATGGGAAGGCTGGCTGATTGCCAACTCATGAGGAAGTATCAATAGTAAAATGCTTTCTTAGAGGGTAATCATGGGGTAAGGGGCTGATAAAGATGTGTAACTTTTTTCTTCAGGTCTTACTCCACTTAAAACGGGCAGTCCGAGCTTTCGAAGATATGGGATTACCCTGCCCCACCATGTAGACAGGAAGTACCCCCAGGCCTAGTTCATTACCGTTAGCTTGGGAGAGGTCTGGTACACTCTCCAGGGCTGAGCTGAATTCTCTACGATGGCAGGGGACAGACCTAATGTCAAAGGCATACTAAGGAAACCATTTTCCTTTCTTTTTCCTTTTCTTTCTTTAACATTTGTCAGAGGCCACCTGCACTTACCAAAAGACAAGGAGAGGGTAAAAGCACCCTCTAATGGGGTGTGGTCACAGAATTCCTTTTCCTCCTTTCTCCATCTTGTCAGAATTTGGGGCATGAATATATATGCACTAGTATGTTTTTTAAGTAGCTAGTCTGGAATTCAAACTGCGTGGTTGGCTACATGGGATCTGGCTCCCTTACCATCAGGACGTGAGCCCAGTCCACCAAGAAACATTTTTTTTTTTTTTAGAGGTTTTTGCTATAGCGTACATGCGCTTGCTGGAAAGACAGAGAGAGACAGAGAGACAGAAAGTGAGAAATCAAGCCCCAGGGGAGCCCTCCAGGGAACTTGGGCACGCACGCACGCACATGCGCCCGGGGTGAGTTTAAGCCAACGGGTCCGGGACTTGAACTGCGGTCGATTATATGGGAGTCCAGCAACATAGCTGTTACACTACTGCTGGTCCCCCCAAAAAACTGTTTTCAGGGCCAGCCAGGCAGCATGGTAGTTAAGGAGGCTGGATCTCACATATTAAGCTGTGCAGTTTGAGACCTGGACCTGGTGGCTTGAGAAACATGCCAGGCAAGTGTGCCTGCATGCCCAAAGTCCTGAAAAGAGAGTGGGAGAAGGGACTGGAGCATCACTTTCTCTCTCTCTCTCCAGTGAGTGCATATGCCCTATAGAAAACTAAACTAAAACCATTTTCAACTTGCATCTGTGTTGCAGCTTATATCCCAAATGAACAGTCGCAGCTTTTTATAGATGCAGCCACTCCCCAATGCAATTTAAAGCACGTTACGCGATGAACTTATATTTCTTTAAGCTTCAATGTTCTCCAGAAACAGGCTAAGTGACTGAAATGTTGTCCTGATACACAGGGAGGACTCCTTTATCCAGGTCACAGTCACCATAGCTCACATCCCAGGAATTCTGTGACATGCTATGGGTCATTAGAGATCAACTCTTGAGCCTCCAGGCAGGAAGGTCCTTACGACCAGCATAAGCAGCACTGCCTCAACCTCTGAATTTATTTTCAAAGACAAGAAGCTCCTAAGGTCTGTTCTTCCTCTACAGGTTCTCAGGAACTAAAATTTGTCCTGTAGGAAAATGCAGTAACAGTGCCCTGTCTTCACAAAGTTCTCTCCGCTTCTCTAAATTTGGCCAAGCAATGCCATGCCCATGGATCCAAAGGCAAAGAGGACTGCAAGGCTAAAAGGATGGTGACGTACCTTCCGGTTGGTGAAGTAGAGGTTTTCGAACATCCGCACCTTGGGTGAGGGGGTCTTCAGACCATGCAGGCTGATGATGCCATACTTAGAGCCTCCCACTTTGACATCGTTCACTGTGAAGAGCCGGTCACTGTTGGTATCCGCCTGGAGGGAAGTGGCATAGGTGACCTCCTGGACTGAGCTAGGTGGGCTACCCAGGACTACAGCCTTCTCCCCTCTCAGGCTCTGTATTTTCATCAGGTGAGTGCTCTCTCCATGAGTGGACATGGACAAAGCTAATAGGTGTCTGGTCTAGCAATTCAGGGTCAGGGAGATGGCATGGTCAGGATTCTTGAGGTTTGCACAGTGCCCCTACTCAACTGGGCCTGGAACAGTTCTGATATCCTGGATCCTAATGTCAACCCACAGGAACATAGGTGTGGCTGTCACCAAAGTCATGAGCAATGTAAGAACTGCCAGCTGTAATCATTCAGGGGGTACAGGAGGGTTTAAAAATATATTATTACTCAGGTGCCATTATGACCACCTAAAAGGAAGAAAATATCTCATCCCACCAACTAAAAAGCATAATAGAGGGACCAGCTTAAAGAGTAATGGTAGTCTACCATGGTTCAAGTCCTGGACCTGGAGGCTTAAAACTCATACTGAGCACGTGTGTGCGTGTGCGCACACGTGACACGCATGCTCAAAATCCCAAAAGGAGAATAGAGGAGATGGGATTGTGGCGTGGCCATCCCACCTGCGGGTGATTTCTCAATTTCTGTCTCTCTGGTGAGTGCACATGCTCTATAGCAAAAATCTAAAAACAAAACAAAAACCAAATAACCCCCACAAATACACAAAAGAAAAGATTGTATAAGGATGTGGACTATTTTCTTTCTTTTTTTTTTTTGAAAGGTTTTTGCTATAGAGCGTGTGCACTCGCCAGACAGACAGAGAGAGACAGACAGAAAGCGAGAAATCATCCCCCGGGGGGATGGCCACACCGCAATCCCTTCTCCTCCATTCTCTTCTTGGG